GAATGGGGCAGTTTATCTGCCTGGCACCTTGCTTGGCCCATCCAGTGCAAATTCAGAGTCAGCCATTCACTGGTGGAGCTGTCCTGCCTAGCTTTGATGATGTGATGAATTTTTAGCAGCATGTCCTAACTACTTTTACCTAGGATAGAATATGCTTTTGAATTTGAAATTAGCCCCTTAGGAGACAAATTCAGCCAGTTATAAATCAACCCAATTGCTCTTCCATTCAATCTGCATTTCTCTTCCCGCCACAATAATATCCCGAGAGGTTCCGACAAATGCTGTGCTGAAATCCATTCTCTCCTCAGCATTTTCCTGACCATCGGGAAACAAACAAAAACCCCAAGATTAGTCAAGAAATGCTAATGCACGAGGGGTTTGTGGAAAATCAGGGAGTTTCTGTCCCTTTGCTTTGACAATGCCAGAAAATGCCATCACAAGTGTAGGATTGGGGACATTTTGTAACTGGAACTCAAATCACGATACAATGTAACTGGCCCCTCTAACTTTGCAAGCTGCTTTCTCTTTCCAGCTACAAATTTGTCCTAGAGAGTATCTAGCAGACAGGAAAGCTTCATGAGTCATGTTTCTCAAATCCTGAAGTGCTACAGTTAAATTCTACTTAGGGTGATAGTCATGGTGTAGATATGTAAATTAAAAGAAGCCTCCTTGAACTAATTCTAGTGTTAGTGCCATTTTATCCAAAACCAAGCACTTAGTGAGTTGCATCTTGGAAGAGAAGGATACTAAGTAGTTGGGGCCAGGGCTGGGGAGCCAGGCTGCCTGGGTTGGTCCCCCAGCACCTCCGCTCACTAGCTGCCACCTCTCTGTGCCTTGACAAGTGGAGATATTCATATGGGACCCATTCATGGATTTGTGGACAGGATTAGATGAGCTAGCTATGCATGTAAGCAGTGTGGTGCCTGGCGGGTAATTAGGTCTCAGCAACGTTATCAATCCATGACAGGCAGAGGGAGAATTTTCTCATTATCTTGCAGTCCCCTTGAAGCCTTGGTAGAAACCCTACTCTGAGAAACGTGGCTTCTGATTTTCTATCTGGAACTCACACAAGCATTATCCGACCTCTCTTCCTCTCATGGTGACTGTCATTTTGAAGCAGGCCTGCACTCCTGCCCCTAGTAACGCTGCTGGCCTGGTTGACAGACAGGAGCACTCTGACTGCCACATAGTTGAACTGTCTTGGCCCCAAAGCTGCAGCTGCTCTCAAGTGACAGCCTTAAGAACTCTGAGGAAAAGAGGGTGAGAACAGACAGAGATGAAAAGAAAACTGGCCGATAAGCTGCTATTTAAAGAGATCAGTGCCTTCCAGGCGCCCATTCTAGCTTTAAGCAATGATTCCCAGACTGATGGTAAGTTACAGCTCAGGCCCTCCTCCTGAGGTTGGTATTATCCACTCATTTCAAAGACAAACATGCTGAGGCCCTGAGAGAAGGCCAGCAGAGCTCTTTGGAGCAAGTCGGAGACACTTTCCTTTGAGCCCTGTTGAGACACTTTCCGGACGGTAACGTCCTGCCTGTCCAAAGCACCACTCAGTCCCCACTTGGTTCCCCCTTTCTTAACTCCACCCATGGGAACGCTGCTCCTTGGGTGCCTACTCCTTGCTTCTCCAGCTCCAGCAGCCACCCTTGTCTCCAGGTCTTCTTATTTTAACCCCCCTCCTCTTTACTCCCCTCATCTGGGCACCCCTGATGAATACCTACCTAACATGACTTTTTTTAAAAACCAAACTGTGCTCTTTCTCTGTCTCCCCAAACACACGCCTCACCCAGTTCCTTCTTCCTACAGCTGACTTTTTTTTTTTTTTTTTGTTTTTTTTTTTGTGTGTGACCAGCCGCACCACGCTCAGCCAGTGAGCGCACCGGCCATCCCTATATAGGATCCGAACCCACGGCGGGAGCGCTCCTGCGCTCCCAGCGCCGCACTCTCCCGAGTGCGCCACGGGGTTGGCCCGCTACAGTTGACTTTGTGAAGTTAGCTTTGAAGAAGGCTCAGGAGGGGGCTGTTGACAGTGGGGAGCCCTAATAGATGTCTCCAAAGCCATCCTAAAGGTAGAATGTTGACTGCAATTTACAGAGAGGAAATGTGGATTTCTTTAAGCTGAAGGCTTGGAAAGGGTGGTAAATGGAAAATCAAAGGAGATTTAATTTCTAGAAAAAATTGCAAAGAAAGAGCTGAATTTGATTTTTTTCTTTCCAACTGGACCAGAACTCATATGCACTGTAGGTGGCTGTGCATAGTGGTACAAATACTTTGGAAAACAAAGTTGAAGATGCAGGGCTGGCCCGTGGCTCATTTGGGAGAGTATGGTGCTGATAACACCAAGGCCATGGGTTCGGATCCCTATATAGGGATGGCCGGTTGGCTCACCTGGGAGAGTGTGGTGCTGACAACACCAAGTCAAGGGTTAAGATCCCCTTATCGGTCATCTTAAAAAAAAAAAAAAAAAAAGTTGAAGATGCATATACTCCATGACCAGGCAATTCCATATCTAGGTGTTATGTCCTAGCTATATGACCCAGAGAAAATCTCACTCCTTTGCTCAGGAGACATTTACAACAAAATTTACAGAAGCATTGTTGGTATTAGGCAAAAAAAGAAACAGAAAACAACCCCACGTACATCGTCATCAGAACGTGTGATATTTACACAATGGAATATGATACAGTACTGAAAACGAACCATCTACAGCCAGAGGGAGGGATCTCACAAACATCAACTTAAGCAAAAAAACTGCAGCAAAAGGCCATTGTATGATGCCATTTACATAAAGTTCAAAACAGTATCTAAAAGCCCTAAAGAAAAACAAGGGAATAATAAACACAAAATTTAGAATAGTGGTTACCTCTGAGGCCAAAGAATGAATACACTGAGGACCTTAATTCTTAAATTGGGAGTAGGTACACAGACATTTACATACAGTGTATGCAGCCTGTGGAGTATGGGAAATACTTAGTGATAAACACAAAAACTTCATGATCTATCATGAGGAGAGGCCACGCACCTAGATCACTAGGGCCTTCTGCACTCATCTGATATCTCACCTCCCTGCAGCCCTTCACCCTACCCTGAAGTTTACTGTCTGGCTGGAGACCCTCCTTCATAAAGAGATATGTCTCTTTCTCAAGCCAAACAGCCGCTTTCACATATATACCACAGTATCAGTAATCCAGGTGGGTCATAGGCTGCTGCAGATTCACCCTCAATCCTGGTGTTTACCTGCGGATACTCTGCCAGGAGCTACCTGCAGTGCTTCAAGAGGTGGTATTCTGACAGCTTTGGGCACTAATTTCCCCTCCCTGTCCACTAGCAAGGCAAGTGCCTTTGATGTGCCACTGGAATAAAACTGCTCAACAAGTGAGAAATAACAACTAAATGCCTGTAACAAGGTAAATGCCTCTATGCTGACTGCAAGTACATGTGAACCCCACGGGAGGGCATTTGGCAGTCTGCTGATTTTGAAAGTTTTGACGACATCTCTCCTAATCATTAACATTTGAGCTACAATTTAAGGTTGAAGTGCTGGCTCAGAAGGCTGTGCTGCAGCCTCTAAGAATCTTGCAATGACAACTGTCTGAGATCATGTTCTGCATTTGATTTCCTGCTAGATTCACTGCTTCTGGCCAGAGAGCAGTTATAAGAGCCGTGTTGTCGAGTCTTTAGCTCTCTAATCATTTTAATGTAAAATAAAAGATTGTTTGGAACCCTTCCAGGGACACGCCTCAGAACTGCTCTGAAAATAAGAGCTCCAAGTGTCTGATTTCTTAGCGTTCTTACAGGCTTAAGAGATGTCTGCAGTTGATTTAGCTGCTGAGTCATGGTGCTGGGGATATTGGTTTTAAGCTGCCAAAACGTCAGTGTGTTTATTGCTGGTGAAATCACAAACTTTGCTTACAAAATTCATATAATTCCTTAATGAAACATCTTACAATTTCCTTGTTGCTTTTTTGCTAAATTTAATCCTAAAGTTCTTGCTTCTTAGTCGATGGAAAGCAACTACCATGAAATCAATAGGCCTTCATTTTACTAAAGGGGAAAGCTAAGCCAGTAGCTCCAGGGATAAAAATGTTAGGGGTTAAAAAAAAAAAAAAAAAGCAGTTTTTGCATCTGCCCAGAAGAAATATTATTAAATTCAAGTACATACTTGAGTCTCCCTGTGCAAGGAAATGAGTAAAATAGGGTGAGGTATGACATTGTCTTTAGCTCTCAGACTTACATACCAGCAGGAAGGCTAAGAAAATACAAAAAATAACGGAAAACGAAGTGACCGTCGCAGCCCTCCTTCGGAGTGGGGGATGTGCGGCAGAGCTGGTTTTTGAATGGCTGTCAGTTTTTCGGTTTGGGCGGCTGGCCTGTACGGGGATATATCAGTTCCTTTTGATCAGAATGAGAGGTAAAATCACTCCACCTACTCCGTCCTGGTTTTCACTCGCCAAACCACTGTGGAATATGACCTGTCTTGAACTTTCAGCAATCCTCCAGGTCTGTGTGAAATCCCAGTCCAAATCATCACACGGATAATTCACAAGAATCCAGGTAGGTGCCATCTAGCCCCGCAGGTGAACGAGGGAGGCATCTAAAGTCTCCTTTCAAGGTTCAACATTAACAAGAGCAGGAGAATTAATCTACACTGGGAAGCAGATACGAAGCGCTCAGAAAAGTATTGGGTAAAATCACAGGGCAGTGGGCCTTCCCTTCGGCCCGATACCCACGTGCGACCGCGCAGCAGGGAGAAAGGCACGGGGTCACCTTGGCGGGCGGCACGCGGCGAGGGGCGCAGCGCGCAGGCGCGGGTGGGCGCACGTGGACCCCGACACGGCCCGCGCCCCCGACCCGGGAATGGGGCCG